TGGGGGAGGATAGAACTTCTATGTTGTAGGGGAAGCATAGAAACCGCATTATTTTTTGGGACTGTTCTACTTGAACCTGGTGACTTCACATTTTTATGGAGTTTACTTAGTAAATTATGCTCCTGCAAGATATGGTGTGCACTTCCTCCATTGGTCAGGAGATCTAGTGTTGTCAAGTTTGGTAAGGGATATGGTCGAGTAAAAACCACTCCAACCATTAGTTAAACTAATTTGACGGATCTTAAAAATACTAATAAAAATATAAAGAATAGTTTAAAATACCTAATATATTAAAACAAGTTGCCCACTAGGTTTGGATGGTCGAACCTGATGTGGACTAGCCAAAGCAATAAAATATTGGTCTTGATTGATTTTTACTAAACCCATTTTTTACTCTAGACCAGACCGTTTAGTACTGGTGAGCAGTTCGACCAATTTGATTATCTATTCAATCACGTATTGATAACTATAAGAAGACCTACTTGGGAGGATTTTTTTAAATCTCAATTTTTGGTAACCACCTAAATAAATATTTTAATTTTTTCTTTTTATTTTAAGTTTTTTAACTCATAGATCTCCCCCTTGTAAATTAGATGGTCTTTGTTCAATCTTGACACATTATTTTGTTTCAAATGCATGAAGAGCACAAATAAAGTATTTTACTGAGGATATACTATAGGTTGAAGAGGTTATATTCCGAAATCGTCCTAAAGTTACTCCAAAGGGCCAGAATAGAACATAGTTTGCTAAAGAGTCGTGCTTTATTTTAGGGATGGGGTTTCTATGAGACAACAGACTCATATGTACACATATGGCCTCGGCCTGTAATTCACTTTAAAGATAGATTTTTTATTTAAAATTTTAGGGATTCATCATCTAAGTCAAGCTGATCATAAATATGAAAAAAAAAAAAAAAAAAATACTCTAAAATCTATAGAGAAAAGTTTATATATAGCCGAGGCTCTAGACATCAAATTAGAGCTTACTTAAAACATTTCACTAGAAGAGATCGTTTTGATGCCTAAATATCCTCAACTTGATCATCTCGACATCGAGATGCATGGACAAGAGAAAAAAATAGATTTCAAGTTTTGGAAATAGTGTATTTTGTTGCGTATTTTTGGACCGTCAATTTTCTAGATTTGCAAGTTTTCATACATCTGTCGATCTATACTATTTTTGAAGCTTTAAACTTTATAAATAAAGATAAAAATATATTTTAAGACTATCACAAAGATTTCCAGTATTTTTTTTTGACAAGATTACTCTAACTTTATTAATCAAACAAAATTACAATCTCTCAAGAGAATAACAAATCAGAAACAACAACGTTCTACAAAGTCACCCCTCGTTTTGCCAATCCATATGCTATGTCGTTTGCGTCCCTATACATATGTTGAAACTGGACTTCAATTCCCTCACAAAACTCCATTATCTTCATCCACTTTCTCCTTAGATTCCATGGTGGTCTTGCTGTCTTATTACACGAATTAATCACATTCATTGAATCTCCTTCAATGAAACAAGGTATACCAAAATTCCTTTGCACCACCAATTTTAGTCCTCTCTCTAGCGCTTCCATTTCGGCCTCACTCGCCATAGTTTCTCCACATGGTCCAACATAACAAAGCATTACTACTCCCATTGCATTACGCAGAATCCTTCCATAGCCAGCCGGACCTAGATTACCATTGGAGCTCCCATCAAAGTTTAGTTACATGCTTCTTTCCATTGGTGAAGACCACCTCCCTTTTGGTCTCACTTGCACAAAATTTTGAAGCACCAAATTATTCATATTAATGTCAACATCCACTTTAGATACTCCAATACCTTCATTGGTTATCGAAAACCAACTAAAAATCGATTGCATGATCTTTCTTTTTACCATATCCATATCCAATGATGTATTTTCAAAAGTCCTACAATTTTGCTCCAGCCATACCTCCCATAAAACTGCAGCTCGAATAATCTCCCTCAAAATTTCCCACCTTTGGGAGATAATCCATACTTAAGCATTCTAAGATACTAAGATATTCATATGGTTGTTCGGCGTTACCATTGAAAAACCTACCTTTTGCA